TAACATCAAACATTTACCGTGAAATAAAATTTTTTTAGATACTTTGCAGGATGCCTGTTAAAAAGAAAAACTGAAGAAACTATTAAAAATAAATGATGACAACTGAAGAAGTTAAAACACCATTATTCATAGTGGCTTTTCATCGAGGCTTCAATTCTCCAGTATTTATTTTTGTATGTTATTATATATGTTATGTTTATTTTTTTTTTGTTGCTTATTTTGTAACAAAAAACTATGTGAATGATTAATTGTCTTGCCCTGGGCCTCTACTTCAATCTGGCTATTGTTATAACACGTATATCGATTTATATACTGTATTGAGTTAGATTGTGATTTGTACGTGTGTTTTTGTTTGCCTAGTGTTTGTTAGTTATATGGAAAATATAGCATGGTATGGCACACTGCATGGTATGCCCTAAATAATATTATCAATAAATATTTTTATCTACATTTTGTAAATATATATGCTATAATTTATTATATTATTCAAATGTCTATTTTTAATTTATAAAATTAGTGTAAAAGTGGATGAAAGCACTAAAGCGTAACGATAAACTTTAAAGCAGAATTTTGTCATGCGATTATGGTGGCGATATGAGGGAACTAATGTGGCGCAATATATTACTATTGTAGAACAGTTTTGCATCAAATCATTGTATAATATTAGTTTTTTTGTTGTTTAAAAATATTATGAAATTCAAATCTGTTTTTTCAATTGATTCGTAACAATTATGCCAGACCAAATATTCATTTGCCTAATACATTTTATTGCCCTGACAGCGAATTAAATATAGGTAATATAAATAACCTTTACTTTTTAGTTTTATATAAAAAAATGCGACGCTTTTTAATCAAAAAATTGTCACATTTCGCTGATTCGAGATACAAAAAATCTGCGAAAAACAAACTATAAAAAATTGAAAAAAACCCGCGGTAAATGAAAAAAATATCTGGATTCAATATGGGATTTTGAACCCAGATAGTTTTGAACTGAAAAGATCATTAAAAACTGGGGGGGGGGGGGGAGTAGATTATTTTTCCACATAAACAAAGCATAGAATTTTCAAAACGTTAAGTTCAAATATATTTAAAATTTTCATTTCAATAAAATAAGGTTTACAATGAGAAAAACAATCAGCAAAGTTATTTATGCGAGTTGCTCGTTTCTGACAGCGATAAAGACGATGTAATTTACTTTTTTCAGTACTTAGGTAATTCAGTACCAGGCAATATTAGCGTAGTTTATGTAGCAGTGAATAAATGAGAAATAAAGTTGTCTTAAGTTTTTCTTATTGAGATAAGTTCGAGCTTTGTATAAAACTCCAATGTCTTTAGAGACTTTGGGACAAACATAATTTATATGTTGATTTCAAGTAATGTTCTCATCGAGATTAACACCTTAGTAAATTACTAACAAAGTCTCTTTTTATTTCAAACGCATCAATAAAAATTTGAGGCAAGTTTAAGGGTAAAAAATTTTTTTTCTTAAGCGAATGAAAGAAAGTTCATTTAGATTTGTCAGTATTTAATGTTAATTTATTGGATTTGAACCAGTGCACAGTGGTCCAGAAATGCCACTTTTGAGGCAAAAATCATATCTTAACCAATTTTGAAGATAATAAGCTAAAATTTTTAGTGAATGTTCATTATACTCTGTCCAACAATAACTGTTATTGTAATGTTGCTTTATTTACCTCTGAAGGACACGCCAATGACACAAAACCAAGGACAAAAACATGTGACACGTATTTCATATTGATTTTTAACTTTCTATTGACTATAAGCAGTCACAAGAATGTTTGATGCATTGTTTGATTGAACAAGTATCATACCTGTGCAGAACATCAAAAACACATAGCATAATAAAACTTCCATTTAACTTATTTTAACAGAATTATGAATACGTTTTTACTAAATATTTTCTAGAGGATAAACTTCATATTTATAAAATCTTGGTGGATTCCAAAAACATGCATAGTATCACACCAAGGATAACACCAAGGACAGGTGCCAAAAAAGGTGATAAAAAGTAAGCACAACAACAATATATAATTTTTAGGCAAAGGCTAGAAGATGCAAACTCTGACATAAAACACCCCCTGCCTTGGAGCTCTTGGTTGAGTAAAGGCTAGAGATGGTGTCTCGATAAAAAATACTCATCTTGGGCAGATGTTAAATGCATCCGACTGCTGTCTTGCAGAAGGCCTCCTAGGCCAAGACTTAAGGGGTAAACAGATTCTATCTGTTGACCAACCTCGCATCCCTTCTTCATCTATTAGGCTGGCGCAGATGTATTCTTAATACATTGTTTCCAGTTTAGGTAGTTGAACGCTGGATCTTCTTGACTTGATGCATGGATTTTACTTGTGTCTCTGTTTTTATGACAAGGCAACTCATTCTATTCTCTCCAAATGAGGGTACAGCTCTAAAACTCAGTTTTATGGTTCTGAGGCCGGCTAGTAATCAGGTTTCCCGAACTCTGTGGTAGCTCTCAAAGAAACTGATTCCATCAACAGCCGAAAAATATCAGAGTACTAACAGTGCCATGCTGCACATGGATGGTGTCCCTGTTTGTACTTTTGGTGTGCATTGCCAAGGCCACATTGGAGCCCTTTGTTACGGCTTAGAGTTTATTAGTGGAAATGAGGCAATTGCTTGGGTTATAAACAGTGTACTGAGTACTATCTATGTTTCGAGTCAAGTTCATTAACAAATTTAAAAATGAATAAAGTAACAAAAACTATAAAACACAAAAAACCACTGTCATCACCAAGTTCGCTAAACCTATCATTCAACAATGTTCGTAGTCTTCAAAGTAACTTTTCTTCTATTGAGTCTTATCTCTTGCAAAGTTCACCAGACCTACTTGCTCTTTGTGAGACAAATTTTAATTCAGCTGTCTCATTTTGTGATCTTAGTATTGATAGTTATCTTTCTTTAATTCGTAAAGACTCTAATAGTCACATGCTTGGCCTTGGCATTTATATTCGTAAGAATTCACCCATTTGTCGGGAAACTAGGTTTGAATCCACAGACTACTCTTTTATGGGCTTTCGTTTAGCACCACTTCACTCTATCACCTTTCTTTTAGCTCTATATTGCTCTCCTTCATCACAAGACTGCACTCTTCTTGATATTATTTCTGATCATATTAACCAAGCCCTCATTCTTTATCCATCAGCCAATATTGTTGTTGTCGGTGACTTTAATGTTCATCACACTGAGTGGCTTGGCTCTAGTGTCAGTGACTCTGCAGGCTTTAAGGCCCACAATTTTTGCTTTTCTCAATCCCTAACTCAAATAGTCAACTTTCCAACTCGCTTTCTAGACAACCCAAATAATTTACCTTCTTTACTCAACTTATGTCTTGTTTCTGATCCTAGTCAGTGCTCAGTTTCTCCACACTCACCCTTCGGTGCTTCTGATCATGGTTTGGTCTCTCTAAAACTATTATCTTATTCTTCTTTATCATCAGAATCCCCCTATCATTGTACATCTTACAACTACCTTAAAGCTGACTGGGACTCTTTCCGTGATTTTCTTTGTGATGGCCCCTGGGTAGAAATCTTTCGTTTTCCTGTTGACAAATGTGCTTCTTACATAACTTCTTGGATTTAGGCGGGCATGAATCCTTTATTCCCTCTCAACGATTCCAGATCAAACCTCACTCTTCTCCATGGTTTTCCTCACATTGTGCTGCTGCAATTGCCAATCGAAACCATTACTTCCATATCTATCAGCAAAACAATTCTCCAGATAACAGACGTCTGTTTATTACTGCTAGGAATCATTGTAAAAAAGTTTTGTCTAACGCCAAAGCCCGCTATTCTCAGATCATGAAATCTCGTATTTCATCACAAAATTTAGGCTCTCGTAACTTCTGGAGAACCTTTAATAGTATCAATAATAAGGGCAAGTCTGTAATTCTACCTCTTTTGTATGGTTCAGACTTTGTCGCCTCACCTAAACACAAAGCTGAATTGTTTGCTAAGAACTTTTCATCAATATCATCTCTTGATTCCACTAGTTGCGTTCTACCTGATATAGCCGTCGAACAGGTTGATCCATTACTCGACATTCTTATCACTCCAGCTTCTGTATCTAAAGTGATTTCCTGCTTAGACTCTTCTACAGCTTGCGGCCCGGAAAACATACCTGTTATAGTCTTGCAGAAGTGTTCTCCGGAGCTGTCATCTATCGTTTCAAAACTATTTAACAAGTGCTTATCAGTGTCTTGTTTTCCAGCCTGCTGGAAAGCAGCATCTGTTATCCCTATTTTCAAAAATTCTGGAGAGCGATCCGATTCGTCTAACTACCGTCCCATTAGTCTTCTTCCTATCATAAGCAAAGTTTTTGAATCTTTAATTAACAAACACTTAATCTCGAATCTCGAATCTCATAACCTACTTTCTGATCATCAATATAGATTTCGACCTTCTAGTTCTACGGCTAATTTGCAGTAATAACCGATAGGTTTTATCGTGCATTAGATAAAGGTGGAAAGGTTAAGGCCATCGCTCTTGACATTTCTAAAGCGTTTGATAAAGTTTGGCATGCTGGTCTTCTTCATAAGCTTTCTTCTTTCGGTGTATCTGGAAACATCTTTAAGATTATTGAATCCTTCCTTTCCAATCGTAGTATAAAAGTTGTCCTCGATGGACAGCACTCTTCTTCTTATTCTGTAACCTCAGGGGTTCCTCGAGGTTCAATCCTTGGCCCTATACTTCTTAATTTACATTAACAATTTTCCAGTTATTCTCACATCTAAGGTGACATTATTCGCTGATGATACTACCATTTATTTTTATCACGATAAGAAGCCAACTCCCTCTGATTGCTTGCAGGGGGCATGAGCTTGAAAAGGATCTCACTTCTGCTACAGCATGGGGCTCACAGTGGCTGGTGAACTTTAATTCAGATAAAACTCAATTTTTTTCATCCAATCGTTATCGCAATAATTTAGACCTTCCTATATTTATGAACGGTAATGAACTCAATGAGTCATCTACCCTTCATCTTCTAAGATTAACTCTTACTTCTGATGTTTCTTGGAAACCTTATATCAAATCCGTTGCAAAATTAGCATCTGCTAAAGTTGCATCTCTTTATCGAGCTCGACACTTTTTTACTCTGGATTCTATTCTCTATCTCTATAAATCTCAAATCCGACCTTGTATGGACTACTGTTGCCTTATCTGGGGCGGATCTTCTAATGATGCCCTTTCTCTTTTAGACAAGGTGCAAAAACGCATTGTACACATAGCTGGACCTGCTCTTGCAGCCAACCTTCAACCTTTGTCACATCGTCTTAATGTTGCTTCTCTTTCTCTTTTCTACAAATACTATATGGGCACTGCTCTAACGAGCTAGTGTCTCTTGTGCCATCTACTAATATTCATTCTTGTGTTACTCGTCATTTAATTAAGTCTCATCCTTTTTCTGTTACTGTTCCTAAGTGCTGCAAAAACTCTTATCCGTCTAGTTTTTTTCCTCGAACATAAGTTCTTTGGAATTCGCTTCCTTCATCATTTTTTTTTTCTGATTAACATCGTATAATATTATTACAATGCACGTATACATATGGAATCTCATAAAATAAAGTATAAAAGTATATTCATTTACAACAAAATTAAGTTAAATCAGATAGAGGCTCAAAGAAGATAAGGATAACATTACGTTATCGCAATCTTTTCATAGAACCCCTAGTTACAAGTTTAAATAAAACAACGTAAGAATAAATAGCTCGTATAAAAATATAATAATAACAATGTTATCATTAAAAAGTCAAGACAAGGTTAAATTAATCAAAAAAGTAAAAAGAAAAACTTTATCTAAAGTTAAAATTTTAAAAATTTCTTTTTTTAATTGAAATTTAAATGAATTTAAAGACTTGACCATAAATTTAAATTCCTTTTGACAATCATTCCATAATTTAGGTTCTTGATAAGATATACAAAATTCTGAGAGTTTATTACATTTCCGAAGCAATTTAAAGTTTTTATTTTTATTTGATCTTAGACCATACTTTTCATTTGAATTTATTTCAAACTTATCTTTGAAGTTTGCTGGCAAGAGGTTGTTATTGTATCTATACATAAAAATTAGATGGTGTTAAATATTTATTTCAAATATATCCATCATTTTCATATCTCTCATAAGAGGTTTTGCATGTTCACGTTTATGTTTACAGTATATAATACGGCAAGCGTGTTTTTGGAGCCTATAGATTTTTTGAAGTTTTGAAGTTTGCGTACTTGCCCATGATATATTTGCATAATTAATAAAACAGTGTACCAGGCCAAAGTATATTAATTTGAGACTTAACATATTGACGTATGGTCTAACCCTATACATTACGCCAATAGTTTTGGTAACTTTTGAATGTATGTAATTTACATGGGAAAGCCAGGATAAATTTTCATCGACAAGGATTCCGAGGAATTTTATACTTGCTTGCTTTTTAATTATTGTATCATTTAAGTACAGTTCGCGCAATTTAATAGGAATGTTTAATTCTTGTGTTTTTTTATGCAATAGAGTATAATTTGCAATCTTTTAAGTCGTCTGTCAATCTTTATCTTGCTCTAGAATCTTCATCTTTTCTCTTCCAGTAACTTCCAACACTAATTAGTGGTTGCTTGCAGCCTTGTTGGAAGCGAAGATGTTAAAAAAAAAAAATTTCCAAGATTTACGGTACATTTATGAAAATTAGTGTACAAAATAAATGCTTTAAAAAAACGCACCAAGGACACATGACATAACATGCAACATGCCTTTTGCATTTATACTTATATCTAAATGTTAAAATTTATTTCCATAATACTAACAAAATGTAGTATTATAATAGTTTGACTTCCTGGTCGATTAATAAACAAAATCATTAAGTACACATATTTTGTAAATAACTAGACATGAATAATCTGTGCATATGGTAGCACAGCAAGAACATAAAACAACTTAAAAAGAATGTGTAATATTGGTTTTACACCAAGATTATGAATAAAAATAATCAAGTGAAGAAATATTCTTCAATATTTCTATATTTTATATATTCAATGTTTATAAATGAAGAAATATTATTCAATATTTCTATTTAAAATTTTTTTTAATAAATTGAGCAATTTAAAAATATATAATTTTAAAGGGTTTGAGTTTTTAAAAAACATCAATGAAACATGTTTAAATGTGTGTACATACTATTAGAAAAAAAGTGCTATTTTAAAAATGCAACTTTATAGATTTCTTAAAAAAAAAGTAAATATATTTAGGACACATACTATCAATAATTCAATTAGTTTGATATATATATATATATATATATATATATATATATATATATATATATATATATATATATATATATATATATATATATATATATATATATATATATATATATACTGCAAACTTGATAAGAATCAGTTAATGAATAAAGAAGAGTGGAAACTTTTCTGTCAGTCATAGTACATTTTAACTTGTGCTTGACTTGAAATAAATCTATGGTTGTTGTTCTGAGATCAGTTGACAAAAATCATATTCTGCTTTAACAATTTGCTGATTTTCTTTAACGTATTGCATTCGAACAGGACGACAATATTGGGTTGAGGATATTTTGGGGTTAGTCTAAAGATTAACATAAGTTTCCTGAAATTTAAGTTTCACAGGTACTGTACATGAAAGAAACAAAGACTCTTCAACTGAGACAATCTGTCCTCATCACCTTCAGTTCTCTGTTTATAAACAGACTGTCCAGTTAAACCATCAAATATCACTTTGCTTATAAGAAGAATAGTATTGAATAGTATCATCTTCAGTTCTCTGTTTATAAACAGACTGTCCAGTTAAACCATCAAATATCACTTTGCTTATAAGAAGAATAGTATTGCAAGGCTCAGGTAGTTTTGATTTATCAATAACTTTCCAAATCCTGTTTGTAGTGTGATCAATTGTTCCATGAAGATTTACAGAAGCACTGTAGTTTGTGGTAACTATCTCGAAATCTAGAATACAATCACTTTTAGATTTCACAATAATGTTGTAGGCAGGGTATAACATGCAACCTTTATCTAATGCTCTTCCGCGGTGATAAGACCGTAAGGACTTCTTGGAACACCTAAAATCAATATATATAAAAAAAAATTCTGCTATTCATATTCGCGGCAGGGTTGGCAGATATTTCACGATATGCGTATAACTGTCGTTATAATATAACGACAGTTTTTACGGCATGTAGACATGATCTAAATTATCAACATGATCAAAATGATCAACATACCGTAAAAACTGTCGTTATAATATAACGACAGTTTTTACGGCATGTTGACATGGTCGAAATTATCATTGGTTCAAATTTATCCGATTGTCTTATTATATATATTATATATTATATATGTCGTTTCATAACCGTAGTTATGAAAATAAAATAAAATATAAAAGCAAGTTAAGTTAACTAGTTAAATAAATAAAAACTTCTTTTTATGGATCCTTTAATAGTAAATTCTTAACTATTTAATAGTAAACAATTATTATTATATATTTTTTATCAAAAAGGTTAAATCTTTACAAAAAAAAAATCAAAGTTTATATTTAATTTAATATATATCCTCTTTATAAAAGTCATTTAAAAAAATGCCTCATATTATAATAACACATATTTACCATTTAAGACGAAAGAAAACTTTGCATTGAGAGTTTATTATTTTTTGTTCCATTTTAAAAGGTTTTTTTATATAACTTGAATAGTCCCTAGAAATATAGTAAAGTTTATTTGAAAGAGTTTTCCCTAAACAAACCTAAACAAATTATTTAAGTTAACATACTAAATAAAACTTTTGTTTTGATTTTAGTTGACATAATTATACAATATTAGAGCAAGCGTTGTTGGCAATAAAAAAAATTTTCTATATAGATTGCTTCATTATTATATTAAATTGGGTCGAAAATATTCATTATGAGAAATAAAACCATTAACTAATTTTTTTTTTAAGTTTTATATTACACAATCCGTTAATCGTACACATAATCATTAATCGTCCTATATATCAACTTCAAAGTCATCAATATTTTCTGAAAATGAAGAGTCTCCAATATCGGATTTGTATACTATATCCGAACTAAAATTAGTCAGCATTTTTTTTGATATAGTGAAATCTTGACAGCACTTTCCTAATAAAATTAGTTCCGACCTTATTCTTACTACAGCATCTAACATATTTAGTGAAATTCTCAGTATCAGTTGGAAAACCACCTGTTTTAAATGGTTTTTCTTCTTTTCAATCTACAAATAGAATTTTTCGATACTGTTCTTCTATTAAGTCCAAGTCATCTTTTAATAGGTGTAAAAACGGCAGTTCAGAAACATCGGGTCTTGATTCTTTACTTAAAATAATATCTGGATTCAAGTTTGATAAATTTTTAAATGTCTTCATTGATGATGGTAGTCTAGATGTTACTTGAGTATAAGCTTCATCTAAAATGCACGAGCATCTTTCTTTTAAATTTTTAATTTTCTTAATAGAGTCAATACTATGATTGCAAATTTGTAAATAAGAGTCACATTCTTTTATAAATTTAGCACCAAAGTCAACCTTATATATATTCTTCTTATTGCTGTTAAAATCATAAATTCTATGATTAAGGCTCATTTGAAACAAATTCATTTGTTTGTAAAGTTCACACAGATCAGCTTTTGTTTGCTGAAAGAGACTGTTCATTCTTTTAAATTCCTGAACAACTGGTGTTATAAAGTGAAAAAATTAAAAAATTTTAACGTCTGACAACATTTTCTTTAAAAGTCTTGTTTTGAATCTGGACCTAAAATTAGAAGGTGATAGTTTAGCACAAATAAAATAGGCTTTAAGCTCTTCCCAATTCATTAAAATATTAAACATCACTTTTCCACGAGCAAGCCACCTTGTAAAGGAAGATTTTTCAAATGGTAAAGGGGCATATCGAGCTGTTTCAGATTCTGTAGCAGCATTTATTACATTAAACAAACTGATGTAATTTTCACGTCTTTATAAGCTATTACAAAACCAATGGGGTATTTCTGACAATAAAAATGCAATATTTGAAGGCAATTTAGACACTGCATGTTAAATGCACAATGCTAATGAATGACAGATGCACTTAAGCTGAACACAGTTAGTTGAAACATTTTCAATTCTTGTCCAAACAGAATTATTACATTCTGTCATGTTTGATGCACCATCTGTAGCAAATCCAATACAATTAGTATTGGACTAATGTATTATATAGACTCTGACCACATTTTTTTATTTCTTGATCAAGCAAGTGAAATATATTTTCTCCTGTAGTCTCATGAACTAGAATTAATCCCATAAATTTTGTCACAATTTCATTTTTTAAAACACTAAAAAAACGAGCTAAAATGCACAAATGTTTGTTTGTTGAAATGTCAGTAGACTCATCTATTATTAAGGCATATTTTTTGTTTTTAAAGTACGCAACATCATCTCTCAATGAAGGAGAAACACATTTTTTATCAATCCCATACACTTAGTTCTATGGATTTTTACATGTTCAAGTAAACTTCCACGTCCATAAACAAGAAAAACTTCATTTAAGTGGTCAACAGTACGCACAGCACAGTGGCAAGTCATAGTTAAAGCGATGCGTAGTTCAGCTTTTTTGATTTTGATGGGCTTAATAATGCAGTGACATGTAATAAAATATTACATCCGCCTAAAATATCACATCCCCCATAAAAAAAATTAAAACGAGAATGCGCTTTCGAATCATTGCACTTAGAAGTGTATCAAGTACGTCCGAAACATTAGTTATAAACAATATAACAAAAACGCAACGAGATTCACAAAAACTTTTATCTACTAACATACTATAAATGAAGTTAGCATAAAACGGTAATATATTTTAAATTCATATTTATAAAATTTTGATCGTAATGTATTGCGTGGCAATACTAAAAAAAATGTTACACATAAGGGATATAAAACTTTAGGTAATAAAAATACCAATCGTTTGCAATATTTTAGAAGCCTGCATAGAGGGGATGTGATATTTTAAGTAAGAATTCCAGTTTCTTTTTGTGATATATACAGTAAATAAACTGAGGGGATGTGATGTTCTAGATACCAAATACTAATCGATTGAAGTATTATATGAATTACTTAGGGGGATGTAATATTTTAGAAGTATACATAGAGGGAATGTGATATTTTAAGTAAGAATTTCAGTTTTTTTTTGTGACATATACAGTGAATTATCCGAGGGGATGTGATATTCTAGAATACAAACACTAATCGGTTAAAGTATTATATGAATTACTTAGGGGGATTTAATATTTTAGAAGTATGCACAGGGGGGATGTGATATTTTAAGTAAGAATTTCAGTTTCTTTTTGTGACATATACAGTGAATAAACCGAGGGGATGTGATATTCTAGATACCAAACACTAATCGGTTGAAATATTGTATGAATTACTTAGGGGGATGTAATTTTTTAAAGGTAAACTTAGAGGGGATGTAACATTTTAAGTACTTAATACTAATTGCCTAAAATATTGTATAAATTGTTTAGGGGATGTAATATTTTAGATGTAAACCTAGGGTGGATGTGATCTTTTAAGTCAGAATTTCAGTTTCATGCAATATTTTAAACTAATTGTTTGAAATATGGTATGAATTACTTAGGGGGATATAATATTTTAAAGGTAAACATAGAGGGGATGTGATATTTTAAGTAAGATATTCAGTTTCTTTTTGTGACATGTGCAGAGACTCCACAGGGGGGATGTGATATTTTAAGTACCAAGTTCTATAACTGTTTGAAATATTGTAAAGAAATACTTAGGGGGATGTTATATTTTAGAAGTATACATAGGGGGATGTGATATTTTAAGTTCCAAATTCTAATTGTTTGAATTATTGTAAAGAAATACTTAGGGGGATGTAATATTTAAGATATATACATAGGGGGGATGTGATATTTTAACTATTTAGTTTCTTTTTGTGATACACACAGAATTTACAAGTGATGAATCTAATACTTTAAATGCCAATTACTAATCATTTGATATATTGTATGAATTACTTAAGAGAATTTAATATTTTAGAAGTCTTCATAAGGGGGATGTGATATTTTAGGAAAGAATTTCTGTTTCTTTATGTGATTTATACAGAAATTGCAAGTGATGGATGTTATATTCTAGTTACCAAATAAAACTTATTTGAATTATTTATGAGTTACTTAAGGGGATGTAATTTTTTAAAAGCCTGCATAGGGTCGATGTGTAATTTAAGTAAGATATTTATCTCAAGTAGTGTTAGCTATTTTTTGTTTCTTGGGTCCTAGTCTGATGAGGAGATCTTTATATTAAATTTATATATTTAGTTAAAGAACTTTTAATAAAATAAAGAATCTTTAATTTAATAGTTTTATTTAGTTTTTTAAAGTTTTAATTTAATATTTTATTTTCTTTAGATACGATTAAGCTAACAATTAAAACATGCAACATTGTTCAACGAAGTCATTTATAAAATTTTGATAGAATTAAATGTTCATAAGATTTAAAATGAACGTAATGAAATTAATTACAATAAGTTTTTATTCTAAATGTTTTTATATCTTACTACATAAAAATTTTACTAGTTTTAATGTAAAAAATGTTTAGAAAGAAAATAAATAATTACGGTTTGTCTTTTTTTATTCTAATGCTTAATTTAAAATTTTTCTCCGTTACGTCCATCTATGGGGGCTGAGGCGTGGTGTCTCAGGAAGGTTTTAACTTCTTCAGATTTAAAACCTTCCTGGTTTTAAATATGAAGAAGTTAAAATTTATTTTTGAATAATAGAAGCTTCTTCTTTTTTAAATAAAGCAACAATTTTAAATAATTATTTTTAAATATTAACGTTTATTTGGGTGGTTTGGTATGGAAATCGAATTCGATTACTGTTTCTTTACGTAGCTACTCCATGTTAGCTGGCTCGGTGAGTTAATAATATTTAGTCCAGTTCACAATTAGTAAAATAATAAAAACTTTTAAAAGTGGCAGTTAAAAAATTGATTTATAATTATTACGATAAATATAAAATCATGTATTTCGGATTAAGAATCATCCAATATCATACTAAATTAAAATGATAAAGAATAATGTACCGTAAAATATGAAACAGACAAAATACATAAACAATTTTTGGATTGTGATTAAGTTAAGATTGTCATTAGGGTTAAGTAATTTATAATGAAAAATATTTTCTAATGTTAAAACATGTCGATTAATGTTTTTCTATGCCTACAGTACCATACAAATATATATATATATATATATATATATATATATATATATATATATATATATATATATATATATATATATATATATATATATATATATATATATATATATATGTTTGTATATATATCACATGTTTGTAAAAATAAAAATTTTGGAAAAAAATACTATTGAGCAATTATACTCCATTTATTCTTCCACACTAAGAAAATTCTGCTTTTGTTAGGCCTTCCTATTTTATTAATGACACAAATGCTAAAGTGCGTAATTGTTCGAGGAAGATTTCACTTACAAATAAAAATCATCCTTATAATGACAGATTTATAGCGTTGAATTCAAAAAGTTTGAAAAAAAGACGAGAGCGTGGTAGCTTAATTTAAATGATTGAATTAGGTAATAAAGTTGACTATATCAATTTTGATAATAAAGATTGCTTTAATTTTTATTCAACGAGTTCGGTATCAACGCGTAGCCATAATATACATAACAAAAAAATCTGCACAGAAATTGTCGTTATTTATAATATTTGTCATAACCTTTTTGTGAATCAAGCAGCTCGTTTTAATCAGTTTAGAAAATTAAAAGGTTTAAATAAAGATGAGCGCTAGAAAAAGAATGAGCTAAAACAAAGTGAAGTGACATTATATATATTTAAATATATTAGTTGAGGTTGAGAGTTTATGTTCACTTATTTCAGTTTAAAAGACATTTTTGTCAGACACTTGTCTCAGAAACCCATAGCTATTCAAAGGCGTCTAAATTTTAATACGCATAATACAGGTCTTTAAACGTCTATAAAAAACGCTGAGATGGGAAATGTTTTTTTAAAATAATATTACTCTGTAGAAGTTACTGAAATACCTGTTCGATAAAGTTTTCATTCTATTAATAAAGAAGACGCAGAAGGTTTGTATTATTCATTGGCGCACCAGTAAAATAAAGATTTTTATGTAAACCTATTTAAATAATTAATTGAAACATTACCCCACCTGGTGTAAAATAAGCGTAGAATTTTAAAACATGTAATCTTTAATAAATGCAATAGTCATTATATTAGCAGATGAAAGGCTTATGCTTAAATTTTGATGAAATTATGCTTAAATTGCATTTCATAAATAGGTCACGGAATAATAAAATGTCTCCGTATTATAAACCCGGTAAAAGTCATTATGTGTATATATCCAGATATAGGTGGCTGCAAGGTATACGATTATTCCTTACGAGATACTTTAAACGAATACCTCAGTGACGAAGTTGTTTATATTTATCTCAAAATATTAGTAAACCGTAAGAAAAAGGGTATGATTAATTATTGTACTTCATAATAAAATTTTTGTACAAAAAAAACAATATTGCATTTTTTTTTTTAAATCCATTTTCATTTAAATAAAATTTTAATTCTAAATATTAAACAATATATTGAACGCCATTTCATTTATTGATGCTTTGAAGAATCGAATCGAAGTACTGTCGCCAGCTGGGCTTCTCTCACTGGATGAATAGCCAATAAAAATGATTTAATACGAAGAAGGAATAAGTTAATAAAAAACTTTTATTTAAAAAAGTTAATGACTCATTAATTTAATGATGTATTTACATACACACACACACACACACACACACACACACACACACACACACTCACACACACACACACACACACTCACACACACACACACACACACACACACACACACACACACACACACATATATATATATATATATATATATATATATATATATATATATATATATATATATATATATATATATATATATATATATATATATATATATATATATCTTCATAGAAAGAGCTCTTTAAACTAGATATGCTAATATGCTGCATGGTGGCTAAATTCCATTGGACGCTTGTAGTATGTAAAATTGTAAAATTGTTTTTTGAAAAAGTTAAATTCTTCAAGTACAAAAA